TAAAATTGCTGCATTATCCTAGGGTTGGGCCTGTGGTTGGGTCCTTCCCCCCGCAGCAGCTTGGGATCCACTCACCTAGCTGTGTTGTCTCAGTTTATATTCATGGCTTTGTTGGGGCTGCTGGGACAAAGGTCAGCAACAGGTCTGCAGCTATCCTCAGGTCTCTGGTTCTGAGCTGCAGCCTTTTCCCACGATTTGGTTTCCCCTCCCTAGCTGAATTGTCTCAGTTTATCTCCAGGGTGGTAGCAGGGATGGGACAAAAGGCTGCCTATCAGTGGCAGCTGCTGCCTCAGGCTGTTTTCCCTCTGCAGCTAGCTTCCAGACCCTGGATTTTTAAAGGAGCCGAGGGAGTTGGAAGCCGCTGTCGTTGCCGGATCAGTTCCTGCCTGTGCGGCTTCCCTTATGGGAACTCCCCAATCGCCAGTTCTCCCTCAGTTATTTTCCTTCTATTGAGTCCAGTGCGTTCTCATTTGGGTTGAAACTCGTAGCATGAAAGTCTATAGTCCGTTTTTGTATAATCCCGTGCGAGTTTGGATGTAGTCGCCGGCTTCTTTATTCTAGGGCTATCTTGCCGGTTCTGGAGCTGGTAGAGCTGCTCAGAGGCTTTGCGGGGCGCCCAGGTGCTTAGGATTGGTTCTGAAGTTTCAGCGGTTTTTCTCCTACAGTTCTGTATTCCTCAAGCAAGGTCAGAAATGCCAGGTCATAGGAGCCCAACCCTACAAGGTACCTTTCAAATCGATTAAGAGCCTCCTGATTAATATATCAAGAGTTATGACATAGAATGCCAGGGGGGCTTTGACTGATGTATAAGGAAGGACCCCAGGAGCTGATCAGTGGAAAGCCTTGTTGACAGGCTTGAAACCTTGACTTGCCTTTGGACCTTTTTAAGTAATCAGAGGATTGTTACCTGTGATGGTAATAGGTATTAAAGAAGACTTAGCTGTTGGTGCAGAGTTAGCACATTACCCCTGGGGCTCTGGGGGGTGTGCCCCCTGTTGTGCATGTCAAGGTGGCCAGGTGAATGGGCCCATAAAGCCATCACAGACTTGTGTTTATCTGCCTAGTATGCCACAGGGAGGACCTGACCTTTCTCTGTCCTAGCACACTCCCTTGTAAGGGATTGTAAGCATCTGGCAGCTGCAGGTGGTGTGGCAAGAGAAAATCCCTACTTCCTCCTTTCCTGCCTTAATCTTCCAGTCCTACTGCCTAATGGTATATAAAGGGATCACTGGAAATAAACGAGAGACTCCTGGATGAAGAACCTCTGCGTCCTGTGTTTTCTTTAACCTCATCGTCCCTCGCCGGACTCGGCTCCGATCAGCCGGACGCGGCACTTAGCCAGTAGGATACCAAAAGTCATTTCAGTAGACTCAGTAATTGAACCTCCTACTTTGCTGTGGGTGCTAGAGTTGTGTGATAGGACTCTATAGTGATCTCCTCTACTGTGCCAACTCCTCAGTCTTGGGCTTCTTATGGTCTTCTTTCCACTTGTACCTATGCTGTTTTTAAACAGTTGATGCAGATATCACTGGGCACATATTGTAGTTGATATGGGGTTACAGGCCAGGAATTCCTCTTTTTTTTTCCTAGTATAAAGCTTGATGTTCACTCTGTTTTTGACAGGTGTTTGTACTCTTATTTATCAATCCTTCTTTTGTTTGGCTTTAGCCTTGGGATGGAATAGGACCATGTTTTTATATACCTCAGCTTGACTTTGTGTAATAGTTGCTTCTATGTGCTCTGTCTTTCTTCCTCCTGCTGATTGAGGCTATAGCTGTTTTATGTTGAGAACCTATGCTTCAGACCTGTAATCCTTGATCTGCATCCCAACCCTCCAACACATACCCTCCATCCTGTGTGCCACCTCTCATGTGTTTTCTTATCCAGTGTAGTAATGAGTATTAGTAGTCCCCAGCCTTTGCATAATAGTCAGCCCTCTTTCTTATGGATTGTACTTCCCTATTATTACTACAACTAAAGTTCAGTAAAAATTTTTTTATTCTCTTTTCCTTTTAAGGTTTTTGTTCCAACTGTATGCTATGATTGTTCATTTTCCCCTCAGGAATGTTTAGCTTTGTGTTATTGCAGTTTTATTTGTAACTTAACTGAAAGAAGTCTGTCAGAAATTTTCACTTCCCTTTCAAATTGCCAAACTATAATTATATATAAAATCAATTATAATTGGTTTTGATGAGTCACTAAAAATTCTGTAAAAATTCAATTTGGCTTCTTAGAGAACACATAGTCAAAAAATGGGCAATTTGATGGATTCATTTATAACTGTTGTGCCAATATTTCTGTCATCCCATATTGCATTTTAACACACTGAGTAATTGTAAGAGGCTATTAATAAATTAAGTACAATAAAGTTTATAAAATGTTCATTTGATTTATGGTAGTTTCTGTGAACAAAAAAAAATATGACCCACTTATTTTTGTAGACTTAATTTCATAAAATATTCGGTGCATCGTAACAGTTTTTTGAAAAAGATATTTACTCTTCAAATAGTAAGCCACCTAAGTTTTTTTTTAAAGTATTTATACATACGGAGCAATAGGGTACAGGTCAGAGGTGCAGGGGCTGTGAGTGGCTTCACCAGAGACAGAGTGGGGAGCAGAACAGGCTGACTGATGAAGTACACTGCTGAGGGGAGCAGCAGGTGGGTCAGGAGAAGTATGCCAAGTATGCCAAGTCATGTAGGTCACCTCTGGGGTGGCGATGGAACTCATGCTAAAGTGGCTTTAGCTTCTTAGTGTTGTGCTTTAACCCACTGCACCACCTGGGAGGGCCCACCACCTAAGTTATTTTTTTTTTTTAAAGATTTATTTATTTGTATATACAGAACTGGGGTATAGGCCAGAGACTCAGGGGTGGCAAAAGACTTCACCAGAGACATAGTGGGTCAGGAGAGGTTTGCCTCGCCATGTGGTCACCTCTGGGGCAGGTGGGAATCGAACTCATGCGGAAGTGGTTTCAGCTTCTTAGTGCTATGCTTTAACCTGCTGCGCCACCAGGGAGGACCCCACCACCTAAGTTATTTTAATAGCAGTTTTTTTTTTTTTTTTAAGGAGGGTCTTTATGTAAATTGTGAATCTGGATTTTTAATTAAATGTCTCTTACTTTTAGAATTTATGCGAATTCCATGTGTGGATGCTGGATTGATTTCACCACTAGTGCAACTGTTAAACAGCAAAGACCAGGAAGTTCTTCTTCAAACAGGCAGGGCTCTGGGAAACATATGTTATGATAGCCGTAAGTATTGAAATATCAAAAATACACTTATAAAATTTAAGAAATAGGAATTTTTCAGACTAATTTTGTTTTTATTGTTAGCACTATCTTTTCATGACTAAGATGGCATGATTCAGCTCTGCTGTGTGGCATAACCAACACAAATGTGTGCCACAGCATTTTTAACTAAGCAGTTGTACAAACTGAATTATATTTTCCTCTGGTACTTTAAATGACTTTTTCAGGGGGAAGTTATTTTCTAAAAAAAAATAGTGGCTTTACATTTTAGAAAATTGTATCTTTTTAATTTAGGTTTTATTGGTGCTATGAATGCTTATGAACAAAATGTTACAAAGTTTTAGGTAGTTTCCAATAAGTTTTAAGTGTCTTGCAATTCTATTCAATAAAATAATTTTACTCTCTAAAGCTAAATTGGCCTACTGCATCTGCATTGATTCCATTCCTTTTTGTCATTGTCATCCTCACCACTTTCAGTAATTCACTGTTCTAAACAAAGAGTAAGCAAGAACATGGGAATAGGCATATTATAGAAATTTTATATTTTCTAACTCCCTTTCTATTTAATAATGTAAACATAAAATAGTCTCTTATTCATTAAAATTAAAAAGACTTACCCTTATTTCCGCTAGGTTTTTATTTTCTAAGCTAGAACCACATTTTTTAACATGTACTTATAAACTGTCCTAGGATGACTTTTACTGTTTAGTTTTTTCATTGAGTTTTGAAATGAGTTATGTTATAATCAGAAAAAAAAAAAGATCCTTTTGTATGAACCAGTGCTTCTAAGTGTTTTGTGGATATAAATTAGATGGAAAATCACATTATAAACATTGATGTATTATAAAAGTAGATAAGATAATACAGCATTCATAGTAAGACTGACCTCAGTTATTTTCCTTTTCTCATTGGTCTGAGAGCATGGATTCTTAACATGACTCTCATGTACAGTTTCCAATCTCTAATATCAATTTTAAATTTACCTATTACTTCATTCCAGTAATTTTTATTACTGGATGTTAGCTTTATTAAAAAATTCTAATGGTTTATATTTATTATGCATTTTCATGTTTAGGAATTTCATTAAACAATATAGCTTGTAACATTGGCTTTCAAGATTGAACAATTTAATGCATATTTTTGATTATTTTTAACAATGTAAAAAGAAAAATGTATTTGCTGAATAGAACAGTATTTGAAAATCGATGGTGATGTACATTTGTAGAGCATTGATCATTACTATTTTAATTCTTAATGTCGGTTTTTATTACTTAAGATCTGTGTTCAGAACTGACGATTACCTAAGGTTATTCTTTAGTACTTGTTCCATTTGTTTTGCTTGCATTTTTGTAATATTTGAACATAGGAAACGTGTTTGACTACTTTTATCTTGGAATTTTACTTTATATTGCCGAATTGAAGACAAAGCATGATTTGTTTCATATACTATATTAATGGGCACAGAATAATTTTATTTCCTGTGTTCTCATGTCTAGTTAAGTAAAATTATCATTTTCATGAACTGGAGGTTACCATGTTTACTATAGCCTTTTTTCTTTCTGAGATAAACAGTATAAAGTCTATGGAGCTACTATCGGCTGTTAGGATAATATTTTTGTTTCTTTTATTTAAAAAGATTGATATTCTTAATTCAGTAGCAGTTACAAATAAGTGGAAAATTAAGCATAGTGAATGTAGCTAAATGAAGTCAGTAACCTTAGAAATAACGAAATATAAGAAGTAATCCCTTGGTGAAATGTGCTCACTATGCCCTGAGAGTTTATGAATATAATTTAGATTGAGATTGTGTGCTTTCTTGCCCCTTTAGTTGAAATTAAATCTTTGTGAACTTCATAGTATTTTTTTTCTAGAACAATTGTAGAAATGTTAAGGGGAATGATGTCCTAAAGGAACTCTGCAGTCTTATGGACTCCATCCCCTACTCCAGCTTTCTGGACTCCTACCTCCTACTCCAGTGATTGGAAACTACAATTCCCAGCAGTACCAGGGAAAGAACTGCGAGGACCCAAGGACAGAGCTAGCAGGAATTTTGGGACACTGGGGTATAAATAGGGCAGGACTGCTTGTCTCTCACTCTCTTACTCGGGAAACAGCTTTCCTGACCGAGTGACTTGGTGTTTTCAGTCAGCCTAGCGGGTAAGGTATAACAGTTACTTTATATCCCACTCTCTTTCCCTTGGTTGTTTCCTATTCCTTTCCCCTTTTGTAAATAAACCCGTTATTGATCCTTTTGTGTTCACCTGCAGTACAACTGAATTTCGATCATGCGGGTGAGGCCCCACAGGCAGGTGGTGGCCCAGTCCACTCTGGGCTACCCTGTAACAGAAATAGTACAGCATCTATTTTGAAATACAGGAATGATATAAAAGTCTTTAAATGTGAGGATCTTGGCTGATTTGTGAATTTACTTGAGATTCAATTTCTATTACACATTTTGGAAACTGGGTATTTTGAAAAACTCAGAAATTAGAATTCTTTTTTAAAACATTATTTGTCTGGGGCCCTCCCCAGTGGCACAGCGGGTTAGAGCACAGCACTGAGAAGCTAAAGTCACTTCTGCATGAGTTTGATCCCTGCCTGTCCCAGAGGTGATCACATGGAGAGGCAGACCTCTCCTGATCTACCTGCTGCTCCCTCAGCAGTATACTTCACGATCTGCCTGTTCTGCTCCCCACTCTGTCTCTGGTGAGTCCTCTCACTGCCCCTGCACCTCTGACCTATACCCCAGTTCTGTAGGAACATATAAATAAATCTTTTAAAAAAATATTTGTTTGTATTTAACTTTCTTTTTAAAAATGAAGTACTATAATTTCAAAATTATAATACAATCTTTATATTTAAAAAGAGAATAGAAAATCTACTTGACAACTTCACAAACACAGGGAATATTTTTATATGCTTTAAAATTTATGTGTTTTTATTTTATCAAAATTTTCCTGTTATATTTTATAATTGCACTCCAAATGAGTAATTTTTAATGGGGGCTTATTCAGAATGATACTGGAAGCCAGTATATTCAGAAGATACCAGAAGGAATTTGGCAGATTCTAGAATGTGATATGAAAAATGAGACTAAAGTGAGTGTATGTACAATATATTGTAGGAAATTCATTAGTAGAGAGAAAAATGTGTTTCATATATTTTGACATTAAAAAAACTAAAGTACTTGCTAGCATATTTTAGTTAACACAATTTATTTAAAAATATCTATGTATATAAAGGAAATACACTTATCACAAAAGTCATGGAAATTTTTTGAAAAAAAGTAGGTCAGATTTCAGTGTTACCAGCTTTGACAGTGCTCATTTTAGGAATTCTTTCCTAAGTGAATACATTTTATATAATCCTAACACTGAGATTATGATTAAGTGGAACAGAGTGATGCTTTGTTGCTGCTGAGCTCTTGAATCTCAGTTGCTGTCTTGCATATAGATGTAAAAGAATGCCTGGTAATGTTTTTCATTTAAAAAAATCCGTTTTTTTTTTAATTTGTTCTTTCAGAGAGCCTGAAAGGCACTTTATGAATTTCTCTTAAAGTATCCAATCTTACTTCTGATTTAAGTCAAATTTTGAGATTCTTTTACACTTTTAATTTTACTAAAATTACTCATTGTAAAAAGCTTGATATCTTGTAGATAACAGGAGAAAGAACCATTATATTTCAACTTGGAAAAAAAAAAAAAAACATAGCAGATGTCCGGGAAGGGGATTTAAACACTTTTAATGTTAAAATTTTAATTCTTAACATTAATTTTCATAAATGAATGTCTTTGGCCTGTTAATTGTACATTTTTTAAATTGATATGAAGTCTAAAGTGGTTATCTTTTTTTCTCCTTATAAGGCTATCTTCATGGTTTTCAGTGTTCAGTTTTGTTTATGTTTCTGTGCTCATCTTAAATTGATGACATATTTAAATACCTTATAATTTTGAAGGGCTTCAAGTTAAATTTCTTCCTTATATCTATAAATCCTAGAGATAAATACTGATTATTGCAGACTGAGTTGTCTCTATTTACAGTTTTCTTGGTATGAGATTAAAAAAAAAATAGTGTTGATTAACTGGTTAAATGTTATTTAGTGGATAATAGAAAAGGTGATTATATGAAATTAGATATTTGTGTTTTTATACTGCACAACATATATGAGTTAATAAGCTGCAATAAAACAGACATGCCTGTTTACAGAAGTAAAATCAATGCTTTTAGATAATGTATCTTTAAGTTTATATAATAAAGAAAATTGTGTGTTTGATCACTGGTGAATAACTATTCAAAATGAGAGGGTAAGTAGGATTGCCAAAGCCAGTGCAAAATAAAATTGACTTCAGGTGTAAATAAAAAAAGATGCCCAGCTATGTGCATGAAGCTAACATTTGCATATTACTGATTCTAACTACACTGATTCTATACTACACTTTTTAATGTATTGCAGATGTTAAAAAATAATTAGCAGTAATTTTATAATATATTTTGGTATTATTTGTTTAGATAAATATGTATTGATACAATATATACTTTTGCTTTAAAATTACATAATTGAAATGTTTTTGCAGTGCTTATATTTACTAGGGAACTATATATTTGGCATTTAAAATAAATGTTTATGTCAATGACATAAATTAGGTTATTCAATTAGGCCTAAAAGGAATTTTAGGCCTATAGCTACTCTTTTTTAAATATTTTATTTCAATATGAAATAGAATTATTTTTAAAACAAAATCCTTCAACTGTCATCAATTTTTGTATTTATTCTGCATATGTATCTATATGTATGAGTTTCTAAGAATAAGAATCTATATGCAACTGCTACTCTTAGTGTATATTTACTATCTTATCACTAATATTTTCATTACCATGATAATGCTCCATTGTAAAGATATCCTAACCATCTAGTTTGAAATAGTTTTTTTTTTAAATTTATTTCACTGCCATACATAATAAAACTGATCAAATGGTATAGAAAATAAAATGCAGTGAGGTAC